GCAAAGGTTGTATGGGCTTGTGGGCAGGGCACTAGACTGCAAGTCGGGAGTCCTGCTACAGACTTGTGTAACTTTGGGCAACTAATTTCATCTTTATGTGCCTCTGTTTCCCTTCCAATCTTTTCTCTGAATTATTTAAATTGCAAATAAGATTAGCCCCTAACAGCTGTCATAATCTACAATTTTAGGGCCTCACTCTATCAAAGGTTGTATGGGCTTGTGGGCAGGGCACTAGACTGCAAGTCGGGAGTCCTGCTACAGACTTGTGTAACTTTGGGCAACTAATTTCATCTTTATGTGCCTCTGTTTCCCTTCCAATCTTTTCTCTGAATTATTTAAATTGCAAATAAGATTAGCCCCTAACAGCTGTCATAATCTACAATTTTAGGGCCTCACTCTATTAATATAGTCAAGATATATTGGTATTATTTATTTTAATGCATCTGTTTCTGATAGTAGATACTAATATAGCATGTGGTATTGACAAGCCTGTTGTGATTTCATCAGGTATCTTTATATAAGCAAGCTGAGACTGGGTCAGTAGAGTTGTTGGATGAGATATATGGAAAAAAAACAGGTGCAGCAAGAAGTATTGCAATAGATAGCACATGTGCATTTGAGTCAGTGTAGAGTAATAATGTCCCTGTATGGAGCTGCAGGGCAATGTGATGCTGGCTATGTCATCCTGTGGGATGGAAAACTGAGCCTTTACTCCTTCTGTAACTACTTTTGTAAGAGTCTTGAGCCAATTCTATTTGGATTAACTATGTTCTGACTCCTGTCTCCCAAATTCCCCTCTTGCTTCAGAAACTGGAGACGGCAACGTTCATATCCTGTTCCAGAATTAGTGTAGCTTGTTCTGTCATATTGGTAGTTGCTTCTTGCATCCAAGGTACTTGTCAGATCGATAAGGTGCATTAATCCTGATAGATGCAGGGGTGTTAGTTCAATAACGCAGGGATTCCCAAATGGTTTCACACAATGGAGCTTCATCATAATAGGGTCCATCTCATGGGCCTTCTTGTTCACAATTGTGCAGATGCTTCTTCTCCCACAAGTAATAATGGAACGCGTTGATTTATAATGAGAGGTAGGTGTTAACATGTATTTGCCAACCTCACTGGGCAGCTATCTGCATCTTTAGCCAATGAAGAACCCTTTTTAAAAACAGGCCTATTGTGACCAAACAGCTCATTGTGGACTGCCAATAACTGCTCCAGAGACCACGTATTCCACAGACCACCATTTGGGAAGCAACCCTGTAAGACATTCTCGGGCTAGCTAAAGGCAGTACATAAAATGATACATAGTGCAGGTTGAGTAATAAATTCCATTCATACATCATCATTCAGCACACTTGAAACCGAGCTGCCTCATCATGGTAAAAAACAGGAGGAGGAGGTTTTTCTCGTCTGACTTTTGCAGGTAATTAATATGAGGTCATGTGAGGCACACCTTTCTGAATAGTGTGTGACTAGGAGAAGATTTCCAAGGGGAAGCTGAGGAATAGACCTACAAATCAGGGAAAATATTTATTAGTGTTTCTTTCAATCGGTAAGTGCAGGTGTGTCCCATTTCATGCTCTGGGGGCTCTTACGTAGTTTAATTTCACAATCTCGTAATGGACTGCTATTTCACCCTCTTTTCCCATGCTAAGCCTACTAAAAAGTACACTCCAGATAATAAAAGTTCAGGCTAAGAGACATAAGTACCACACCCGCTCTCATCCCACCCTCCTCAAAACATTGAGAGAAAAAAGACCTTTTTAGTATGCCCATGTGCCATGGTGTCCAACACACTAACCACTAACAACGTGTGGTTATTTGGCCAGTTGAGTGTCGCTAGTTCACTATAGTAGTAGCCATTATAGTGGTGACTGCTTCAGAACTGGTTGGCACCATGGCCCTAGTGGGTTACAGTTTGAAGATCTGGCAGATTAAGGGTGAAAGAAGGGATCATTGCAAAGCTGAGAATCTTTTGATGATAATGTCCTGCCAACAGCCAACTCCCTTTCAAACTTGCTGACACCTCGACTCTGTTTCTGAGGTCCCAAGCCAAAAGCTAAAACTAGCATGTTGGAAACCTACTGCCCAGCGGTGCAGATCCTAGGTCATAGGAATAAATATGCTTCTCATGTGAAACGGTGCTCGGTGCTTGATAAACAGATCTCTGCAGCCTGCTTTAAGATTCTTTTCTGTGGAGTCTCAATGTGTGTAGGCCAAGATAGAGCCCATCGCAGCAATCTCACTTCAGTGTGCCAAAGTCATGGATAATTAAGGCTAGTTCCACATCATAGAAAAATTGTCACGCTCCTGCAATCACCCACTAGTGAAAGAAAGAGCTCTTGGACACATCTGCTACTTGGAATGGCCCAAGATCTCTTAGTCTACTTAACATATATATTTGCATTATAAAAGAGCAGGTGGACTCTGTATTAGGAGTGCCAATAAAGCTCAACATTGGCAAGGGAAAAGTAATGCACGCTGGGGAGAGGAAAGAGCCAATTTTATACAAGCAACAAACTTTAAACTCTAAACAAGCTATTACCACCCAAGAAAGAGGTTATCTTGATATTTTCATTTAATACCAGGCACGCACATTTATTCAACTTGATATTCAGACTTTTAGCATATAAGCACTTATAAAATTTGTCACTGTCCACCTTCGTGTAATATAATTGAGACCATATCTACACTTGTGGGAAGATTGCTGCAGCAGTTGGTCGTCTGGTGTTCAATGTAGCAGGTCTTGTAAAGACCCTCTATATCGAAAGCTGAGGGTGCCCCCATCAACCACAATATTCCTTGCTATCGCAAGGAGTAAGGGAAGTTGATGGTAGCATTTCTCCCTTCCACCTCCTGCTGTGGGAATAGCGCCCAAGTTCAGCTTAAGGCACGTCAACTCCAGCTACATAAGTGTCTACCTTAAGCCAACCTTTCCCTGTAGTGTAGACTAGACTGAGACTTTCATTTGACTATTTCTCTTTGTGATTCCCTGATGGGAGCTATGTTAGCTATCTGTTCTTACCTGTACTTTAATCAACTTCTATTTTTCTTTCTTTACTATCATACGGTATGTCTACACTAGCCCCCTAGATCGATCTAGGGAGGCTAATGAGGGCGACCGGAATTGCAAATCAGCCCGGGATTTAAATATCCCACGTTTGATTTTCATGTTCCCAGCCGGTCGCCATTTTAGAAATTGACTAGCCCGAAGTAACTGCCCGCGTCTACACGCGGCAGTGAAATGGGATTCCGGAATAAAGCCCCTAAATCAAATTAGGTAGTAAACCTCATTCCATGAGGAATATAGAGTTTTCCCTTTAATATAGATCCTCCCCTAGGCAATGTCTTTGAGCTATGTGCTCCTTTGCACTGGTTGGCATTCCCCTAGCCCTTAGTTCAAAAATGCCTAAATGACCCTTTAAATATTGCATGGCAGCAATCTGGTTCCTTTTTGGTTTATATTGAGCCCATCTCTCCTCCTTTTCAAAGAGATTCTCCAGGTCCTAATAAACCTAAATTCCTCTTCCCAACATCATAGGCTCATCTATGCATTGAAATTTTGTCTAACTGGCCCAGCACAGAAACTGTAAGCAATTCAGAGAATAGTACCATGGAGAGCCTGGACTTTAATTTTTTACCTAACAGTCTACATTTGGCCTCCAGAGCCTCTCACTTATCCTTCTCTATGTCATCAGTACAAGTGCCACAACCACTAGTTCCTACAAAACATAAATCAAGCAAGATGTCTTGATGTGTCCATCATACAGATGATGGAGGCCTATAAATTGGGCATGGCGTGGAAAAAATTATCAGAAAAAACGATTATTTACCTTTTCACACAATAAAAATCCCAGGGGTTGCCCAATGAAATTAACAGGCAGCAGGTTAACATCAACAAAAGGAAGTATTTTTTCATACAACATACAACTAACCTATTGAACTCATTGCCTTAGGATGTTGTAATGGCCAAAAAGCATAACTGGGTACAGAAAATAAATGAGTAAATTCATGGAGGCTAGTCTATCAGTGGCTATTAACCAAGATGGCTAGTGATTTAACCAAATCCTCATTACCCTAATTCTCTGACCACCACAAGTAGGAAGTGGAAGACAGAAATGGATCATTCCATATTGTCGTGTTCTATTCAATCCTGAACCTCTGGTATAGGCCACCAGTGGAGACGCTATACGGGGCAAGACTGACCACGGTCTGACCCAATACCCAGCTCCCATTTTCTTAACTTTGTTGATATTTGTGCATCCAACCTCCCCACATTTCTTCGGGCTTAGTTGTACCAAGTTGAAGCCAGCTAGCTCTTGTCTAAGCTCCCACATTCATTTAGCTACTGTATCTGGGTTAGGAAGAACCTTCAGTGAATGAATCAAAATCGTAAAAAAAAATCCAGTTTGACTTGAACCAAAACCATCTTTTCTTCCTCCCCCCCCAAAAATACCAACAACTTAATTTCAAATTTACCAAAATGCTTTAGATGGATACAAAATTATTTATTTTTTTACAGTTTTTCAATTTGTTTTGAGTCAGCCCATCTATTTGTCAAAAAATTCACTCGATTGTATTCATTACAATCTTCCATATCAGGAAATCCTTTTTACTTGTTCAGTCATTACCAAGAATGCATGGCCTTTCAGTTGAGACATGTCTTCTCTTCATTTGCATCTTTAGAGAAGACAGTAGATGATGTGGTGATAAGTAACCAACTGTACTCATCCACTACCTCATAGGACAGCAGCCTCAGTTGATGCATCACTTTATGTGAGCAAGATAAATAGTTTCTTAGCCAAATCCATTTTTTAGATGTTAACTAAAATGCCATCATCTAATGTTCCCCAAATAACTCAAGATATTCTCAGCAGATCCAGTTCTAAGTCTGGATCTAGATTTGATATTTCTCAAGGTTCCAGCAGGGTTCATATACTTGTTCCAGGTAGGAGTCATCTCTAATTTTTATCTCTAAATTCTAAGCATGCAGTTATGGGGCTCCCCGCTAGTCTTGGGTTCAGTTGCCCTGAGAAAGATGCATCTCACATACATCAAATTGTACTATAGATCTTGTTTCAATTTTGTGTATGAAATATTTGTTTTAATCTTGCAAAGCAACAGAATTTACAATGGGCAGTCTTCAATAATTGATTTTCACACCAGAATTTTATCAGCGCATTCCCAAGGTTTACATCATTATATTTTGCTAAAACTATGTTATACTAAGTAACATCAGGTTCTCAGTCTTCATTAAGACATGCAATTATTGTATAAGCAGGGATGGTCAGTTTTAGTGGCTCTTTTGTAGTTCTTTTAACTTCGAAAAATAGTTATCAAGTCACTATGGGTACATCTAGACTACATGCCTCTGTCGCCAGAGGCATGTAGATTAGGCTACCCGACAGAGTAAAATGAAGCGGCGATTTAAATAATCGCCGCTTCATTTAAATTTACATGGCTGCCGCTTTGAGCCGACAAACAGCTGATCAGCTGTTTGTCGGCTCAGCGCGATAGTCTGGACGCTCCCCTGCCGACATCAAAGGGAGTTGTCGACAAC